TGTGTGTATGTGTATGTGTGTATGTGTGTGTATGTGTATATATGTGTATGTATGTGTGTGTATGTGTGTGTGCTTTCAACGATGATGTTTGATCATTTAGGTGTGGTATTGAGTGGAAGAGGTTATGTCTGTGTTGAAGTGAGTAAAATGGGAAGGCCAATGCTCGATTATCTTTCAGAACTGATTGTGCGTGTGGAAGTTGAACATCTCAAACTCACAGTTTAATATAACTTCATTTATGCTATTAATATTTATTTCCTTAAAATGATAATTTGCAAAAAATATCTGCTGGATATATATATCATACAGTGTACTGTATTTCGGTACAATTTAATGCCGACAACGTCGAAGATTTATAGAAAGAAAAGCTGTGCTTTTGTTTTAAATGCATCTATTAAATCACAAAAATCATAACAAACCTTTCTCTCATCTTTTATAAATAAAAAAAAATCTTACTTTACATTGATTTTTTACTTTTGCTGCATTATTTGTAGTTATTCATTTTATCTTTCCGTGCCACTCACTGACAAAAATTGCACTAACAGTCAATTAATACAAAGTTGTCATATTTCAAAACAATGCCATCACCAGGCTTTATTAATCATAATTTCATAAAAAGTAAAACGGTGCTGCCTATGGCATTATTTTTAAGTATTGAGAAGTTTTTAAGTAAATTAATGATTGCTAAAAAAATTCTCCTTCCATTTTATGCATAAAGCTGTGAGAATCAAATTTCCTGGAACAACTGAAATAGTAAGAATTGTCATTAAACTATAAAATGCAACAACTCATCGTAAAATCATTCCACAAGTGCTACATTAATCAGACAACGCAAAAAACTTACATGCAACAATGCAATTATTTATTAAGTTGTGCAAAATCATCATGAATACTTCCGAATTACATATCATTTTTCTATGAAATGATCGTGAAATTAATGTAGAATTTTAGTAGAACAAAATTGAGCAAATGAAGAAATATATTTAAGTTTGCAGAATTAACAAATTTTAATCAGATTTTTGGTACAGTACACTGTTACAATCTGTTTTTGTGACAAATTCCAGTGCTTGAAGCTTTATCTCATCTGATCAAAAACACAAGCAATCAAAGCAAGAATGAAAGCTAGTCTTTTAATTAGCTTAGTGATGCAAAATATATTATTTGAAATTAATTTAATTTCTCGATTTATTTGAAAAATATTTTCTTGAATAATGTCGTAGCAATATGCCAACTTCATAGTTACAATTTTTCATTATGCATGTTGCAAGGACTTTATTTATTAGGCGCAATTTTAGATTTACTTACATTCTGTTAGAGAGAGAAGATGATAGAAATAAAGTAACCGATAACTTTTGGCAGATGGAAATATTGTCCCCATCTGCTTTAAACATTTTTTGAGGAAAAGGAAAAAATAATTATACTTTTCGCCTCATTCAATTCTAAAAAATTGCAACTTCCACCGATTCTACTTCCCAGTGATGGCCATTCCCGTTCTATCGGATGACAACATTCATTCCCGCTTTGCAGAGGGAACATCGAACGGATGAAATTCAGAATTTAGAAGATAGTTTGAAGTTTAAATTAATTCATTGATTAAACGAAACAAAAAGAGGACGAAAAATGGTCCGATAAATCTAACAATCTTATACATTTTACATTTTTTAATTGTTCAAAATTTGCGAATATTTTGAAAAAATTTGCGTGCATTATTCAACAATGTTTGAATATTTTTCAACTTTTAAATTACCAATTTGCACTCACATTTTTATTGCATTGTTTATTAAAGCAACAAATTTGTTATCCTTTTTAATAAATTTTTTCTCGGATTTAAATTTTATTTTTTGTGCGGATAATGTGGCCACTGATTGCTACAGATATTGAGTATTAATGGAATATGTTAGATATGATATTTCAACATTGTTATTTTCATATCAAGATGTTTTAAATTCTATTGTGAAATAAATTTTGGTGGATTTTTCATCCTGTTCATTACAACATCACTTTTAAGCAAGGTTCAAAAATCTATTGTCGACTTTTTACAGATTTGTTAAACTCTATTATCGAGATATCAGTAATGAAAGTAAATAGAATCGTTTTATGCATCTTAATTAATTCCGAATAAACAAAAATGAGTATTGTCAGATATAATTTAATAAGTCCAACTGAAACGATGCATCTTTTTTAAAACTTAATGAGAGAGAAACTGATTTACTGGAATGGAATACGAATGAAATCTTAAATCTTTCTTTGTGACAATGAATTTCCAAGCGCTTAAGTTCAACATATCAAGCATTGTATACTTTGATTGTATTACAAAATTTAAAGGAAGTACTAGTAAGATTTTATTAAGTAATTAGTTTTAGCATTTTTAATAGCATTTTAAGCATTCTTTTGGTGAAGAAAAAAAGAGGAAAATTTCGAAGGATGGATCGATTTTAAACATTCACTCTTCTCATAAACATCATCCAAGTTGATTAAATTTGTTCAAAATTCTGCGCATAAAATGATTTCAATTTAAAAATACTGAACGATAATATTGAAGTAAATCATTTTAACTGTTGTTAATTTTATTTGAAAATATACCTGAACTTTGGAAGTAAAAACATCGCATCGCAATTTTTGAAACAAAAGGCACTATTCGAAGTATTCATTTCTTTTTTTAAGAATTCTTGCATGATTACTAAATATCTTGAAGTAATTATTATACATATTTTTGTAATCGATCTATTTAAATTGTGCCAAACTTTGGCATATATTTTGAGATAGATCGATTACACTTATGGTAATTCAAATATTTTTGCGTAGCATCTTAAATATGTTTTTTTTTGAATTTACTACGTAATCATTTAAGCATCACAACCCTTATACTGGCAGGAAATAATAATCTTTTTTAAATCAGAGTAGTATATTTAAAATATGTTAAGTTTTTAACTTTAAAGAGTAAAAAGTAAGAGCAAAAAAATTTTTAATTTGTAAAGCAAGAGAGAAGAAAAAGATAAATTGTTACTCATATTTAGCATAAAAGCTCTTTCAAAAAATTGACATATTCATCCTTTTGTAGGAATTTACAATCCTTACTGTAGTTATTCAGATTTGTTTTAATTAGAAATAAAAGAATTTCCTGATAAAATGACATCGAAAACTTTCATCCTTCAAATGTCAATCGCTTATTTTAAATGTTTTTCTAAAAAGATAAAGGTTTTTGCTTGCTCAGCTAAACATCAAAGTATTGCATTTGACATTAATTCAGGTCAATAATATATTAATTATAAATGGAAAACAATCTCTGCATCTTTCATTTAGAACTTTTTGACAATTTATTATGATGTTATTTTGAGATTTAATCTCATATTGAATATAATTATTCTAAAATCGATTCACGCTAATCTTATTTTTTGGGTCGCAAAAATTACAGATTTGTGTGAAAAGCACTGGAATATCAAATGATCAAGTTAATCACTCACATGAAGTTTTTAATATATTTCTTTTTGCATTTTAATTTAAGTTCTAGAAGAAAGCTCACTACGTATACATATTTATCTTTTTTTAGCGCTTCTTTTAGCTTTTCCAGAGGATAGAAATCAATTGAAAATTTGATAAAGATGTCAAAATGTTTTTGAGGAGGAATTGCAATCAAATACCTGTCACAAACAAATGTGCGATGAGTATATATTTAATTTGCTGACGTTAATGCAAATACACTTTTCTTCACATTTTTTCTATGATGCCTTCTTACTATTTTAATTAAGCCGAGAAACGAGTAGTAGATTTAATAAATTGAAAGCGACTTGATTCGAATTTATTTTATTCTTGTACTCAATTAATCAACTTTTGTTCTTGTTTGGCTATTGTTCCATTGTTGAATTCAGGAATTTGTGAGAGTGAATATATATTCCAATTCATAGATGGAAACCAAAATGTCAAAGAGTAAGTATATATACAAATGTCCATAGAATTATTTGTTAACATAGTAATCTTCTAAGTTTTAATTTGTACTTGAGGCAATAAATAACTTTATGCAAAATGTCATCATTTATTTTATTCCAGAAACGGGCGGTATGAGTAGTACCGAATTTCGGAAGTATGGTAAAGAAGTAGTAGATTATATTGCGGATTATATTGAAAATATACAAAAGAGACGTGTGGTGCCAGCTATCGAACCCGGATATCTACGTAATCTATTACCTGATGTGGCACCTCAACATGCGGAACCATTTGAGGATGTTATTAATGATTTCGATAGATATATTATGCCTGGGGTAAAGTTAAAATTGATGTTATTTGAACCTATTTTAAAACTAAATATAAAAAATTATTAATCGGGAAGGATTTGTGTGTAACCGCAGTGAGAGTTAGCTTGAAGATTTAAATAGGAGAGAAAGTTAAAAAAATATATCCATATATCAGCCAAAAAAAATTTATGCTATAAAGGTAGAAAGAATAAATCCATATTTCAAAGAAATCTTTGAAGGTATTTTTAGATTACCCATTGGCAACATCCTCGATTTCATGCTTACTTCCCAGCTGGAAATGCTTTTCCCAACCTTTTGGCTGATATGATTTCAGATGCTATCGGTGCAGTCGGCTTTTCCTGGGTGAATTTTATTTTCACACCGTTTCATTTGCTCTTAAAAATATAAGGAAAAGTTTATCAGAATCACTAATTTTTTCCAGGCCGCATGCCCTGCAATGACAGAATTAGAAATAATCATGTTGGATTGGCTTGGCCGAATGATCGGTCTACCAGATGCTTTTTTGCCATTCACCGAAAATGGAAAAGGTGGCGGTGTCATACAGGTAAAGCTTATTCCGGACAGATGCCACTATCTTATTTAAATAAAAGGAAACGATTATATTAACAATTCATACATCATATTTTAAACAAATTAGAACTATTTTTTAGCATCAATTCGCGAAATTGCTCTCTCCAAAGCTAAAATTCGAAATTTAATCTTTTTTTGTAATTATTTCAGGGTTCTGCAAGTGAATGCAATTTTGTTTCGCTATTAGCAGCACGATTTGAAGTGCTCAAAGAACTCAGACAACGTTTTCCATTTGTCGAAGAAGGACTCTTACTATCAAAATTAGTCGCATACTGTTCTAAAGAAGTAACCGATCCATTTTCTTCCCTTAGCGGTTCACTTAAATTGAATTTTTAACAAATTTAACAATAAATGAACAATTCAGTATGGATTGGCGATTGATATGATAATTTAGAAAATATTTTCAATAGTGTTTTTAGGCACTTTTTTGATTTTGAGGGATCCATGAAATGATTTTTAGGCGCATTCATCAGTCGAAAAAGCTTGCATGATTGGAATGGTTAAATTGAAAATTTTGGACACTGATGCAAAGTTTCGTCTACGAGGTCAAACACTACGTTTGGCAATAGAAGTATGTGCTAGTTCAATATTTCTAAGTAATTAAAGCACTTAGTTCCGCATTTTATATTCTCCAAATTAATTAATTGAATTATCGGAATTGAAGACAGCCGTCAAGATTTCCTCAATTTTTCAGTTCACTGAATTAATTATGTCTTATCTATAATGCTTGCTCTTTCTTTTTTATATTAAACTAATCGTGAAAATTTTAGGAAGATCGTAATCTTGGCCTGATACCATTTTTCGTGTCCACTACCCTTGGCACAACATCATGCTGCTCCTTTGATGTCCTTTCTGAAATTGGTCCCGTCTGTCAGGAAAATGATTTGTGGTTGCATGTTGATGGTGCATATGGCGGAAGTGCGATGATTTGTCCAGAATTCCGGCCACTGATGGAAGGAATTGAATATGCAATGAGTTTCAATACCAATCCTAATAAATTCATGCTAATCAACTTTGATTGTTCCACAATGTGGTAATTTTATAAGTATTTAATAAATTTTTTTGAAATATCTATCATAAAAAATCTTTTTTCATCAAAAATCCGCGCTAAAGATAATTAAATTTTTCAAATTAATTTTCTGGTTATTCGTAAATTTTAATTTCGAAAAAGATTTGTATTTTTTGTATCATTTGCAAAATATTGCACTTTTATCTGACACTCTTCATATCATATTTCGATACCTCCTTGATTTCTTCAACAAACATTTTACAAAATGATTTCTAGGGTAAAAGATCGCTACAAACTAACGCAAGCTTTAGTCGTTGATCCGCTATATTTACAGCACAGCTGGACAGGTATTCATTTTTTGTAACAAATTCTGAAATTTCAGTATTTCTCGAAAATTCGATTTTATCAAATTTTTTTCTTATTTCATCAGCTTATTATATCCTGGAAAATCTTGACACAGTTACTGATAAGAATGTTGAGTTTTTCTGTTCTAACCTTACACTATCCGGAAGATTCTTCTCTTCTTTTTGAGGTCTTAAATCACTGACATTTGTTTTGTTGTTGTTTTTTTTTTAAATTAAAGTTTAGACAAAGCAATTGACTATCGCCATTGGGGTGTACCACTCAGTCGTCGTTTTCGATCGCTGAAATTGTGGTTTGTGATTCGAGTTTATGGTGTTGAAGGATTGCAAGACTATATTCGCAGGGTTTGATACTTTTTCATATTTTCATAGCCGAAATCGTTTGGCTTAACATGACTGCACTTCCTGACCTTTTATTATTTGCGGTTAGAGGGCAAAAGGACGAATTAAAGTTGCGCAGAAGAGAATTGGAGAAAAAATTTATCATTATGTGAAAGTCTATGAAAAAGAACAGCTTCAGAGATGAATCCTGTAAAAGTTGACTAAGTTAAAATATCTGACACAAAAAAAAACTTATGGTTGTTTTAGTAGAAAAAAAGTTTTAGATATTCCGATCTCGTTTTTCTCGTGAATTTCAGCTAATAGGATGTTAAAAATTGATATTTAAATTTGACAAGATCCTTTTCTATACTTGTAGCACTGTCGTCTGGCAAAATTATTTGAACAGCTGATACGGGCAGACAATATTTTTGAAATTGTTGGTGATGTAATCCTTGGTTTAGTTTGTTTTCGTATGATTGCTTCGGAAGAAATGAATCAAGAACTTCTTACCAAGTTTGCAAATTTCATTATAGTTGCAATTTTTTGCTATAAAAGCGAAAAGAAGTGTAAATTCCAGGAAAGAGCTTTTTTTGAAAGAAACTCAGAATCAAATCGATAGGATTAGATTGCTATCAAAATTTTACTATTGTTCAAATGTTCTGATATTTTAATATTTTAACATAAATAATTGAAGATTAAATTCTTCTGGACGTATTCATATGGTGCCAGCATCGTTGAATGGACGTTTCGTGATTCGTTTCTGTGTTTGCGCTGAACATGCCACCGAGAAGGACATTCAAGTTGCTTACGATTTCATTTCACAAACAGCTCGACATATCTTTCGTATCACTTTCATTCTTTTATTTTGCTTCACGTTAAATAGACGCAAACTTTAAATTTATATTATAATTATTTCCACAAAAAAAACTTCAAATATCCGGAAATCAACTAATTATATATGAATAAGTGCTAAAAATTATTCTTTTTAATTAAGATTTTTAATTAAATAATTCTCTTTTTAGTTAAATCATATCAAAATTAATCAAAATTTAGCTTTCTTAAAATGTTGGATGCATTATAAGCGATAAAATAATTTATTGCTCTAAATAAACATTCATGAACAATTTAGCAGCACCTGAATTGTCCATAGATTGAATGAAAAGGAAGAAATGAGGCATAGAAATGTCTTGCGATAAAGCAATAAAAGAAAAAGAATAGTTTTTAAACTATTGCTCAAAAAGCTGTTACAGCTTTAAACGTGCATCGCCTAAGAAGTTAAAAGTTTTGCAGAAAATTCGGCTTCATGTCCACTTGCTGAAGATGACGAATTGGAAACGACGGAAGAGAAACAAGAATGGGTTGGAGAATTGAGTCTTATTTTAGTTTACTTTGTCTAATAATTTTAAAAAAAGAAGAAGAAAAAGTTTTGCAAATACTTTGTTTTATTATTATCAAAAAACAAAATTTTAGCAATCCGAGCAAAAGATTGTTGACAAAAATGAAATTTTGAAACGAAAAGAGCAGGCGACATTATCACAGAAACGTTCCTTTCTTGTTCGAATGGTTTCCGATCCAAAATGTTATAATCCGAAAATTGTGCGTCATTTAACGACGAGTAGTTTTCGGAAAATAAATGAAGATGTTGTCCGAGATCTCTCATTACGGTAATTCGTTTACACTGTAAAGACTATTCCAGAATTAAATTGCTATAGTTTATTTCACATATGTTAATGTAATAAAATACCATTTTTCAGAGAAGCAATTGGCAGATCAAAAATACAATCAAAATATTTTAGATGTGGTAAGAATATTTTTAGAAGGGATAAATAATTCGCATAAATTACTTAGAAAAATTAATATGAATTAATTCGTGCAATTATACTAAAATGTTTGATTTAATAAATTTTCTACCGTAGTTTGAACCAGATGTCAGAATATTCAAATGAGAAATGTAAAATTTGTTTGGATCAATTCAGATCTGATAAAGGAAGAAAAAGCATAAAAATTATTGTAATTCTTTAAAACATTTTTAAGATAATGTGAATACTACGAGCTCATCGTCTGAACCATCAGTGGAAGAAGAAGTTATTCTTTCTCCAAATTCAACCGGAAGCTAAACATTAGCATGAAACAAGAAAACTGAAGCATTTTACTCATTTAATTTTAATTTCCATATTGTACTCCTTTATATAAAAACATTACTGTTAGAAAGTGGAAAAGTTTTTTTCTTTAATGAAAACATGACATTCAGTGGGGAATTCATTTTCAGTTCTTTTCATCTTTGATTTAAATTGTTGAAATCCTTCTAATAATGATATTTTTTGGATTTTATTAGTGACACAAATAGTAGTAACACTTATCAAATTTAGCATAGATATATCGTTCAATTGTAATAAGAAAATGGCCGTGACAGCTTAATTTTAATTTCGAAAAATTTACTGTTCAGATATTTCTTCAATTCCTATTGAATAAATTATTTTTGGTACTGCATGAAGTACACAAATTATAATGGCACGTATACTTGGATTTAGGCTTATATTTTCACTTAAATTAAATACGAAGTTAGTTTTAGCACATGTTCAGATTACAGTTTTGTTCATGACTGATTTTTGAGCTTAACGTTTTAGTTAAATGTGAAATCGGGAAATTAGCTTTTCTGTCGTTTTTTATTTATTCTTAGCTCAATTATTATGCTAAAAAAATCTAAGAAAAATTAGAAAATCTTAACCTGAAATATTTATCCTATCAGTGTCTAAAATTTGTATAGATTTGGAAGCATGAAGTTTAGAACAAAAAAAAAATATTGATTTCGAAGATTTCCAAACTGTAATTTTGAAAGAAATTAGAAATACGAGTAAACAGAGATTTGACAAATGAGAGTGCTACGCAGAAATTGAAAAATTTTGCTTTCAAAGATTAATAACATTTTGAATGTTCTCCGGATGTGGTCATTTTTTTTTTGCTGAAAATTTTATTTCAAGGCATTTTGTCTATTGCTAACTTTCAATTTTGCTGGCAAGCAATGTTATCTCAAATTATATTAGTCAAATTTTAGATTAATATTTGTGTACCCGAAGATGCTACTCTGTTAATGTTGCAATTACTATATTACCCACGAACCTTTCCTCATATTCTGCATAGGTTTTTTCTTGCAATAAACAATAGTACTGATCTCAATCAACTTTTCAAAATTTGAATTTTTAAATTTATTGATTTTATTTAATCGATTCTTCCTTCTATTGCGAATTGGTTTTTGGCACAAATCTTTAATAATCTCTGCTGATCAGCTCGTGCTTTTTCCTTCATTTAATACGTTTCTGATGCTCTCTGTCAAATTTTCTCAAGTAGATTTCATCGGTACTCCCGTAATACGTAAAATTTTTGTACCAGTAATGTAAGCATGTGAAATGTGTACTCCATTAATAGTAAAGAACATTCTATATATTATGAATGTTAATTAGTAAATAGCTTCGGTAAAGTTTTTCCTAAAAAAAGTATTAAAGAATTTTTAATCAGAAAATGATAATATTAAAACTTTGGTATGTAAATGAAAATTTTCTACTAAAACATTTACCAATGTCATTCATATAATTCAATGATTGTTTACTTACTTTTTAGTTTTTTTTAAAATGTTATTTATTATGTAAAATGCAAGCTATGTCATGTTTATTGCTATTCTGATGGTTATTTAACACAATATTTTCAACAGAAATACACATGCTAGTTTACAGCATTCAATTTCATTATACTGTTCACAAACAAAATCAATTTATTATTACAAAGAAAATTTCTGTACTATCAATATTTCACGCAGACAGCCAGTACTCTTTACTTTTATACTATTCTTGGTTAAAGATTAAATTATTTAAAGAATAATGGTTCAAAAATAAGCAGCCACTCAATTATTACAATAATTTCATGCTTTCGCATAACGAACAAGTACATATGTGTAAAACATTTATAGTTAAAACAGTAATGTTTAAATATATTAAATTCATGCAAAAAATATTACAGAAACGAAATAACGATGAAGTCAGCAGGATCTACTTGAAAATCAAGAAAGCAATAAATATTACAGGGATACTGTCATTTTCAACAATAATGATACTAAATAACTCTATTAGAGTAAAGAAGAGTAAAATCAGGCATTACTGCTCTCCCAATATTAATAGCTATTGCAGTTGATGTTTTTTTCCATATGAAACTTATTAAATTTATGTTTTTTTTTTTTTACAAATCTCAATTAGCTATTCATGTGAAACTATTTCAGAACGTGCTTAATATACTTTGAACTGGTTTTTATTTTTATGCGATAAATATCTCAGTTATACGTAAATTATTGGCTTGCACAATTAAACTAGCACCTTCCACTATATAATCAAAACACGGAACTTCATAATTGACAGAGCATTCTGAGTTTGAAATACCATAGCTAAATGGAAAGAAAATAACGACAACCGGAAAAATATAACAATTAATTCCTGTTTCGAAAGTATTACAAATTGTATCAAAATTGTAAGGCACTTTCAACTTCTGCATTTTTTTTACCGTTTTTAATCAGGAAGACATTTACTAATAGTTTAGCTTAAAACATTTATTAATCAGGTAAATCGATTTTTTGAGGATCATGTTTAGTATTCGTACTATATTTCCATTTTTTTGTGCTCTGTTAGATTGAAATTGACAGTTGTATTGCTTCGGTTTTGTAATTTTATCGTTTTATTACATTTAAATATGAAGTCTGTCTACTTATTTGTGATATACGACATGATGACTGTACGACATATTTAAGTAGTGAGAATGACTGTGTTATATATAAGTAGCGATTTCAATTATTTTAATATTTTGTAGATGTAATTCTGAGGTTTTAGCATATAAACTAGATGATACCATAGTTACCAATTTGTATGAGCATCGCTAGTTAGGTTTTGCGCATTTCATTTCAAGATATTTTTTGATCTATTCACTTTAAAAAACATTCCAAAGTCCTATTTCGTTTTTCGAAAAAGAATTTGTTTCAAGGCCTACAAATTTTTAACTTTTCAAACTCCTGCGGTTGGAAAGCAGAAAATTTTTATACCGAGTTTTATGAAGCGTGACAAGGTAAACTTCAAATTTTTTATTTGCAAGAGAAGATATAGATGGGGAGGTAACAATTTACAAATATACAGCAGCGTGACGAACAGAAATCATATATATGAATTCAAAGGTATGTATAATCTGTGCAAGTTCTTTCCGTTACCACTTACAGTTGATCAATTTCAATGTTTTAGCGCAGTTGTTTGGCTGAGAACCATGAGTAATAATTATCGAATTCAATTATATCTGTAATTGAGAGTGTAAATTATTCGTTTGATACATTTACTGAAGATTAGAATTACATTTACTTACGGAGTGAGGAAAAATATTAAAAGTAAATGTTATTTTGAGTTTCCATATAACTGTTAAAATTTGCTGTTTAAAAGTTTTTTAGACAAAAATTATCGTAATTTTACATATTAAATTGAAATCAACTAATTTAAATTTAAGTTGTTAGTACGACAGAAAAAAGACTTACATCTTCCAGTGTGCTCGCATAGAATGGATCCAGAAAATTGTTTGCTTTGGAAATTTTGTCGAAGTGTATCCGGATCCGATATCTTCCTCCGATATCATATACTGCCAGCTGAAGCATATTTTCCATTTATATATTTTAATATTGTAATGGAACTATTTTAAACTTGAATCTTTGTGTCTCCGAAACTGATATGGCTGAACGGGATGATGTATTTCGTCGGTCCGAATGGTTCGAAAAGTGTCTATCAATATGAAGTAGACAGTGCTGGGGAAGCCGAAATAAATTTATAAAGCAATTTTTGCATCTAAATAATTAAAGTACTTTATTCTAGAAATTTGTTATAATTTTATCGCTTATCCAATTCACAAGTGAATTCTTCCAGCTTCGCTTCGACAGTTTAATAACTTGTTCTCCTAAACTATGACATAACCAACTTCTTCCCAATTTCCAGTCAAATTTTGAAACATCTTTTTCAGTCATCAGTAATCAAGAAGAAATTTTCATCTATTGATACTATAATTGTCATATAATATTACCATTCCACATAGAATAAACCTTTACAACAATTTTTGTCTGCGAAACAAAAACTACTCATCAAAGCTTTTACGACAGCTAGAAGATACGTCCAAGAAAAAGTCCAAACAACGAAATAAAACAATTCATACATATCATTCAAACTAGAAAAAACCTGCTTTGCATTTCAGTTTGGTTAGAATTAATAAAGCACATCTTTGATACTAGCATATTCAATGATGAATAAGTGAATGAAAAGGATGTAGGAGCTGATTAAGTACAGCTTCCTAGTGGCTTATGTTCTGATTTCTCTGATGCACTGTCAAAACAACAAGTGCTTTATACTGAATTAAATTTGGCAACACACAAGGCATTACCTCATTTGCATTCACAAAGTCGATATCAAGCAAACTTCAAGATAATCTATTTTAAACCAAACTAGTATAATTCCTAACTGTAAGCACTAGAATTTGGATATTTCAAAACAGTTAACTTAATTGCTATTGAGCATTTGTAACCACTATCGTTAATTGCTTTTAACTTTTCAATGTAGTCTAAAGATAAGGAATATTCGATGGCACCAGAAATTATAACCAATTTATACCGGTGGAAGTTTTCGTGGCGTTTGGGATTGCAATGCTGATAAGTGCGACAGATTATCATCGAACTAGCAACTTTAATATTCACTGAGAAAAACCAAATTTATTAATCGTTGCAATTCTCGGCTACAACTAAATAACGCATTCTCGAATTTTTTTCAGCAATAGCCAAACCAAACCTCTAAGCAGAGTGAAAATCATCAATGTAATACCATGCAGAAATCAAGAGAATTATTTTCGATGAAAGACATCAGCTTTGCTTTTCCAACATATGCAAACTAAAAACGACATGTCTTCATCCATTGAAAACAAGGAAAGAATTAGTTTCAGAATATCCTCTCACAACGCGAATTTTTTATTTGATAACGCTAACAGACAAATTTTGATTTTTGACTGGTGATCATTATGTTCAACTAAATTCAGAAATGTTCCTTAACACTTCATGGGATTTTATTCAATAAGTTCGTATGTTATTCGACTCTTAAAACATAGCATTCAACAAATACTGACTCCGAATGAACACTTAAAAATTCAACATTCACTCATTTTACTGTAGAAAGTATAACTTTCAACTCGAAATCGAGTAATAAAAAGATAACCATTTCTTTTATTCCATAGCATTAGGCATTTAATAAAACAACTCAAATAGACGTTGTCGAGCTAATAGAGCACTGCATGTTTGACTAAAATGTTCCAATCACGTTCCTTTGATGGCACTTACATGTGAATTATCACATATTGATGCCTTGGCATATTAATGCCTTAATAAGGCAACAGTTCTGCATATCACAAAAAAATCGACAAAGGCATTGCAAGAATCATAAACAGAACTTTACAAGAAAGTTCTATTTTTAGCCATTGCTCCCGAACCGACCACTATGTAAATAAAGTGGATAAAAAAAAGGATAAAAGTAAATTTGACAAATAAAAACTTTACATTAAAGTCATTTCTAACAGTATCTTTGCTAATTATCTCTCACACACATTTATTTACCTAGGCTCACCAAAGAGTATTCAAATATGTAGACAACTCCAAAAGTTAAACTGCAAAATGCTCATAAATGTTTTGTACTCACATAATGTATGATGATTACATTACGTATATTTTGCATCTTTAGTGCACTAATCACCAAATAAAATTCATATCTTACATTCATAGCAAGAACAATGCAATTGAGTATGCTCAGCAAAAAATTCATGAGATCATTAACTGCTAAAACTTTTTGAAATTTCAAAGTGTTGTCAGCACGATCTATATTTTCGAATAATGCAAAACTGTCCTAATAAAACAATCAATAAACAGTGGAACGAAAACAAATGCCAATAATCAAATAATCAATGTAAACATGAAAAATATCGAATAAAAGAAAAAAGAAATGTTCCAAAAATTGTTGATAAAATCACTGCCCTGCTTGCATAACATTCTGACCTTGCATGATTTGAGAATGTGACTGAGTGACTAAAAAAAGTTATAAATTTTGTTTCATATACTGTTTCATATGCAAAGTACATAACCAGAACTTTATGTAATATTGTCAGTATTCCTAGTAATGGCGAGACTTTATTAAGCCTATATGTTAAACAATGTTTTGACATAATTAGGGTACTAAAGCGAACTATTAAGGTGACTTTACCGTTTCCAGCCCTTAATGAATGTTCAACCCACATTAATGAAAACATGAAAAATGTCTAAAAAAACTGGAGCAGTCAAAAGCAGCTTCACTCATTATATTGTCTTCATGGAATGTGGAACAATATATTGGCTCTGAATTCTTGAGCATATCTTAACAGCAGAAAATAGTTCAATGGAAGTAATCAATCAAAAATCAATGAGTGATTCTTCCGTATCTTTGACGAATTATCGATCAATTTCATAAGCATTCAAACTTACGTATCCGAAAAATATCGCGGTTCACATCCTGTGTATGGACCATCTGCGCAGCAACAGCTAAAGGTGTTTCAGCAACAGGTGCTCCAGGATTGGTTGTATTTGTGTGGGTGCCACAGTAACCACCAGCAAAACCATTGATCATGTTATGCACAGCATAATCCATCTGACCTGTCGCTAAGTTCGATAGCAACCCTAAATTGCACATATTCTTAATTTTTTCATAGCAAAAATTTTCCACATTATGTTCAAATCTAAGGACGTCACCCTGAACAATTTCTATAATGAATAAAATGGCCAAAATATTACTTCAAAAAAACAGCAAGTGTCTCAGGTATGAATATTTTCTGAAATTGAAATTTCAATATGTATTTGTGAAAAGGAATCATTACTACGCTACTAAGCCAGTTATTACACTTGACTGCTACTTGCTACGAATTTGTCTAAGGATATCGAAATTGTATTCTATGTAAATAAAGAAAAACTTTATACTTTCTACGAAAAAAGGTCCCTAAAAAAGAAATGAAAAGTTGACATGTTCTAGAAACTCTCACCATTATTCTGCAATAAAGCGTCAGATGGAGAATCATTAGCGCAACCAGCAGGAGGAAGTACTGCTGTGCCCGTATATCGAAACAATGGATTTTTTAAATCCAACGTATTGCTAACTCGAGTTTGCCCCAGTTCTGCCGATATTTCAACATCATAGCTTTGTCTGAAATATGTATGTATTTTGTATGTTCCTTTGTCAGTTAATCAACACATAAGGAAACAGTGTATTACAATTTTATAGATGAAGACTTTACCCGACTTTATATTTAATTTTTTTTTGTAATCGTTCATATTTCATCCAGTTTTACTTTTTCATGAAATACTTCTGCCATAAACAAACAAAAAAAAACTGATATTTCGATTAATTCACTCAAACTGCTAGAAATTTTTAAAACACGATTACCTCTCATTAGCAACCATTTTAATAGCACCTCGAACAATCTGGCCAGCATAAACCATCAAAGGTCTGTCAAAAAGACATCGAACCTGATACCAATGCGTCAAAGGTTCTGTTGGTGCAGTAGACAACCAAACTGTTTCTCTAAAAACATTACTCTCGAAATCTGAGCGAAAGTTCCTTATTCCTTCACAAATGCTCCATTCTTATCAAATTAAAACTTGTAAAAATCAAGACATAATATTCTGCTAATTTTCTAGGTGGGATTCATTGTACGATTGAATGATGCATAAAAAAGAAATGTAACGAATTCCGCATTATTCTTAATTGATTAATGTCAAAAAACGAAAACTCACGTTGAGCCAATAAAAGCGACATCAAACCAAGATGCAATGCCGTGAACATGTCCAGCTTTCGTCACTTGGAAATCAAACGGTATATGGATTTTATGCAGTAATGACTCAGGATCCTTTTCGAAATCTATGGTCCATTTAATACTTCCAGACATTAAACAGTTTACGTGCCACGTGTCCTGAAAGGATCAATTCAACGAAAATGAAATAACTGAATAATAAAAAAAGTTAAAAAAGAAGCATAAAATCACTTCAATATTTTTCTGAGATGGAGAAACCTTCTAACAAAATAAAATAAAATACGAAAAAGTAATAAAAAAAAAGATAATATAATTAATACATAAAAAAGATAATATATAGAAAAGAAAAGGGTCTATATTGTGATCATTCTAACGACATTTATTCGAGAACTACAGTATCCTACCACAACTGGTTGTTTGAATATTTCAGCAAGTGCCTGAGGTCGCAGACTGGATAAATTGACACCATGAAAACTTTCTTGACACCAAAAATTTGCTTTTGATGATTGCTCAATGTAAAGAGCTTCATCGTTGAACAAAGCAATGTGTAATTCTCCACGAGATGGAAACATTCTGCCTGTCAAATAAGCATAGTTGAAACAATTGGAAGAAAAAGTAGTGGCACATTAAAGTAGTATAAAGTTTTTCTTGAAGGTGACTTCAGTGCCCAATACAAAGAGCACAGTAATGAAATGCAGCTATAACAATTTCTTGCCATTGACAGAAAAGTGAATGACCATGAGGAAACATTGCTATATATTGGTCAATTGAAGTTAAACAGCGATTTGAACCATTCTTATTTAACAGCAACTGGAACAAACAAAATGGTTTTATCGTTTCCAACATAAGGTTCTTTCGGTAGTCCATTTCTGCTAATCATATATGACGAATTTAATAGAAAACAGGAAACAATAGTTGTAAAAATGCTGTGGAGCTAAGATAGGCAACTGTTTTAATTAAGCTCTTCATAGTAAAATGAAATAACTATCTGTTTAATTGCAGTGTGAGTATTGAAATGATATAGTGCATTAGTGCTTGAAATGTTCTGTGAGCAGTTATCATTTAACCGAGAAAGTTCAATATGAAAAATAAGGGTGAAATTACTTGAAAATATTTTTTGTTACATCATTCCAAACATAAAAAGAAAAAAACAGAAAAAGTGGATTAGGGTGCAAAAAAAATGTATAGGATAGGAATATTTGAAATGTACCCCCTGGTTTAAGGAATTTTCTTGCATGAATATAACTTTCAAGCATTCGTTCGTTTACAAGCATGTATCCCATTGGTTCTGATATAATAATATCTATAGGTTCCGGTAATGTGATGTCTTCTACTCGCCCAGCAATAATTGTTATCTTATGGAGTAAGTTATTACGTCGTACAAGTTCCTGAAAATTTAAAATTTTTTCAAGTCAAAGTAATAGCTCATTTGTTGTTTCTCGATATTTTCATTTACTTATTGATAATATACTTACACACAAATTTACATGTATACACGTAAAGAAACTAACTTCACAATGTACTGCCATTGAACTTGCTTCCACAGCATAGACATGACGGGCTCCAGATTGTATTGCAAAGAATGAAAGAATGCCGCTTCCTGCTCCCACATCTAATACCACCTTTAAAGGCTTATTATACAAAAAGCAATTATGAAAGAATTATCATCCACTTATACCGGGATCAAGAAAATCTATGAAGTTTTACCTACCTTATCAATGAAATCTTTTGCATTTATATGAATGGCTCGTTGATATGTTGATGTCCGTACATAATCTTGCATCATGTTCTGCTGCTGCGATAAATATCTACAAAGTGACTTACGAATGCAAAAACTCATCTCTTAGCATTTCTCAGCTTCTCATACATTCCTGCTCTCTTCAACAGTATTCGAAATGCCACAGTCTTAATAATGTCTCAAATCTCAATTTCAAACTTTTAATAGTCAAAAGAAAAATGCAGCCCATTTTAAAAAGAAAATACCCGTAGAACTGGAAGTACTGCGTAGCCGATGCATACTCGGTTCGGGCATCAAATACTGACACCTTTTCATTATCGTTTATCGGCGATGATGGTCGCAAAGGTTTTAGCGACTGGCACATTTTGAAAGCCGTCAAAAATTCGGATACTTCTAAAATTTCTTAACACTAGCACTAAGAAAAGAATATTATTTAAAATCAATTAATGGTCAGTCTAAAATAATTAATGGTCAGTTATTTATAAATTTGTTCCGAAAAAATTGAAACTAAAAGTAGATAATTCTTTCATAAAAAACATGACCATCAAAACAATTGCAATTATAAATAATTTACAAACAACTAATATCAAATGAGTGGTAAATTTATCTGCAAATGTAACAAATGATTTTTTACAATAATAAATGACCCAACTTTAATGAAGACAAACATGCCTTTGGCATTTTTAAAATGCAAAATCTTTGTACTTCCAATTTTCATATCATTTTCTCGATCCAGGAAACCTAACATCATGTTGCTTATTCGAAATACATTCAGCATTGAAATAGGCCACCTCCATAATTCACTCTCGTCCTCATCTAAAAAACTCAAGGAAATTCGAACTTTTTGTACATTACCAACTACTTGCTTCTCTCTATTCTCTTCATCTAAATCAAAAAATTGATTAATAGAAAACTTTACCAATAATACAAACGGAATAATTGTCAGCTGTGATCCCAACTACAACAGAGGATGTATTCTGACGGCTTGTTACTGCATTACCATCTTCTTCGAGGTCTACGAAATGTGCACGACCAAACAACCGTATAGCCATCACTCCTCTTGATTATAATCTTTAGTTCACTAAAGCAATCCTTGAAGTTAAAATCTGAATAATAAAAGAAGAGAACAAATAAAAATGTGCTTGATGATACAAGTTAAAGGAAAAAGAAGCGCCGTAAATAAAAAGAAATAAGGTTTGAAGGAAGTGACTTAAATGGGAATTAACTTATTCATTGGTAGAGATAATAAAGATGAACTAGTTTCCACATTTACACTGATTTATTCCACATTTAACATACGAATATCACTTATCCATTTTGAGAAAGCTGTCAGTCAGCAAAACAAACTTATTCTATTTTGTCCCCGCACTGACTCCTACGGGACAAAACAGAAACTTTATCACAAACCAAACGAAACCTAACACTCGTACTTCAAACTCACATCACGGAAGTCAGGTCATCACATCCTCTACCCTTCAGAAACACGTCCCTGGTTGGCGAGCGACGGCTGGAATGCAACAACATTGTATCAACCAACAAGTATTGTTTCTGTATATGCTATCAGTTAATATTTGATCTATGCAGTTCCTATCTTCCGAAGAATTTATCAGTTTGCCTGAGATTTTTTTTTCCCCAAAAATCTGAACATTTGAAAGCAATCAAAGAATAATGCAAATCTTGTAAGCCAAGATGTTGTTGTTGTTGAGCAGTGAGTAGTCATAATTAAACCTGTTTTAAATGTACTCCACACTATCAAGAATGAACACTGTGGCTATTTATTAAGACGAAAAATGATAAAAACCAATAAATTATTTAATACTGCAAACAGTCGTATACATCTAAGAATGCGAAACATGTTTTTTAATTTTATTTTTACTCATTCATCACTCCACTTTTTTCATTTGAGGATAAACTTGTATCATTCTTATCACTCTCATCGTCGCTTGAGTCATCGTCATTGTCATTGTCTTTTACTTTTTTTAAGGTACCTATAATTTGCATTGCTGTGTGAGTGATCTCGAATAACTATCAACAAGCTAAACCTTATTGCATCTTAATAACATAAGATAAAATAAGGCTTAACTTGTTGTTGTAGAAATAGTAAGAAGTCAGATAATATATTGTTTCAAAAATCTTTTTGAGAGTAATGTAGGTAATTATAAAATTTCTCTTTAGCTTTTCAATTTGTTTCTTTCTTCATTTCCTAATAATCTATGTTCTTTCTACTTCTCCAGTTTCTCAACTTGATATATTTTATGATTAAATAGGGTAGGTTTATAGTATACCAATGATTTCAATTAATTTTGATAATGGAGATAAATTTGAACAATTATTCAAGAACAATATATGAAATCTCTTTGATGATAACCTATGTTCTAAGACTTACTTGGTGCTTCAGATGTTGTAGCTGGTTGAAAAAACGACAAAAACCATTCACCGGATTTTTGAATTTCTGAAATACTAAATTCTTTGTAGTTATTTCACATTCATTAAGCACAAACTAATTTTGTACTTAATTTAGATTGATTAAGTGATGGAAATTACGAAATAAATACACTAATTTTTTCACATTCATTAAGCACAAACTAATTTTGTACTTAATTTAGATTGATTAAGTGATGGAAATTACGAAATAAATACACTAATTTCTGCAAACACTCATAACCATCTCTGATTTATTTTCGATGATAAGAAAATAGAAATGATGAAGATGTACGCGATTTAGCTTGATTCATTGCTCCAGTAAGATCTTGTACTTTTTTGCCAACCTAAAAGAAAGTTTTTCTATTTTTGAACAGGAATTGAAAAGATTATGAGAAGAAATTGTATAATATTATTCATTCATTTTTAAATAGTGCAAATTAAGCTTTGGTTATAAAGCTTAAATTGTGCTAACAGGGATGAATTATTTGTCTTGCTTTCATTCCTGTTACTATAGAGTTAGAAAAACTTTGATAATGCGGATTTTAGCACTTCACTGCTTTAACGAATGTAATTATAAGCTTCTAGATTTTTTCAAATAAACAAAAACTCATATCAGAAGCTTGGAATTGCATCAATCAAAACATTACTATCAATTAGATGAAGGCATAAGAGATATATTTCTTGATGCATTCATCTCACTTTCACATAAATAAACGAGTTACACTACTTGCAGTTTACTTTCGGAGAAATTTCAAATGCAGATATTGTTTTGAGGAATTTTTGTTTCTTTTCAAGAGAAACTTCATGGCATATTCGAAAGAAGTTCAAGGCTGTAATAAGTTTAGAGCCATATCCTTCACCGTTCTTATACTAGTTTACCAAAAAACTTTACTGTTTGATTATTCTCCTAGAGATTAGGTACAAATGAGATGCGCTAAGTGTTGCACAGCTAAAAAAGTAATTGTTTTATATGAAAAGCTTATAGAAGCAGGCATTTCCTATCATGAAACGTATGGAATTGTTTTACCAATTTAGTGGCTTGGATTGTACTTTCAAGAGCAGTTTCGGAGAGATCAACCGTAGTACTGCTTGCTGCTGTCAAGGTGTCTTTTACCATTTCCTTTCCTTAATTTCATGTTTATGCAGATCTTATTAAGAATTTATATATCCAAAGGTTTTTGATTGAAATTGCAAAAAGAAGCATTTGCATTTTAGATGTAAAGAAATCTAGAAAGATACCTATAGAAGCAACGTGAATTGTTCCTCCTGCAATTTGCAATCCTTTAAAGGCAGCATCTTGCGTCATTTTCGCGGCATCAGATGTCATTTTTGTGCCGATCGCTGCACCTCGTTCTGCAAGTTCTTTCCCACGGATTGCAGCGTCTAATGTCATTTTCGCAGCATCAGATGTCATTTTTGTGCCGATCGCTGCTCCTCGTTCTGCGAGTTCTTTCCCACGGATTGCAGCGTCTAATGTCATTTTTGCAGCATCAGATGTCATTTGTGCGCTAGCAGAAGCACCAATTTCAGCCAATTTTTTGCCGCGTGCGGCTGTTTCGTAAGTCAGTGCAGCACCGCGATATGCCATCTGTTTGGAATAATGATAGGTTTGGCCGACGGCAGCTTGCATGTATTGCAAGTTATCACGGGCAACTGAAAACAATATGGAATTGAAAGAAATGAATGAAAAGAATCTGTTTTCCAGGAAACAAAAAAGTTTTTGGCATCAAAGAAATATTTAAGCAACCGCTTCTTCATTGTTTCTATTCATTCCTCTCTCTGTATTATTTTCATATGCTTACCTAGAATTCCTTCTGTTGCTAACTTATAGACATCAATTAATCCTTTGCTAATTCGATCAGCATAGAAACTAGCATCGCTCATTAAGTCAGCCAGATAATTTGACTTTTTGGCTATAAGTGCATCAAGAATTTTTGCTTTTGCAGAATCTCGATCTTTTAGGAATGCATCCAATTCTTTCTTGTCATCATAAAATTCATGTGCTCGGCATAAAATTTTGTCAAGTGCTGTATCCAACGTTGCAAGGACCTGCCATAAAATATTGATTAATCATCCATTTGTATCGTTCAAACTAGAACAAATAATTGAAAGCCGAAATCAAAAAAAGTTAATTCGTTATTTTTGGAATAATATAGATGTATTAGCATCCAGTGAAAGTTATAGATACATGGTGACAATTTTTCTCAACTAATTAAACGATAAGTGATTTGAAGTTAAAAACCGAAAGAAAGTGTTTAAAGTATTCTTTCTGTTATTCTGTCACAATCGTTCATGTCACAATCGTTCCCTCGATCTCTACTTCCGATAATAATTTATGAAAAACCTTTTCACTTAATGGTATTTTTCGACTGAAATAATCTCTTAAAATGGTAGCTTCTTCGGGTGTGAGTACTTTACCGAGGACTTGATTGGATGTTAATGCTTCTACTATTCTTCTTGCAACCTCGGATATTACGACCTGCAAGATAAATGATAAGAATATGAATTTTTTGTTTATATTGTGGGATTTGAGATTATTGAATGTTTGACGAATTCCTGATAAAAAAACATCGGTATTTTATCATAAAAGATAAATTTCGATTGATTGTTGACAGTTTATGCTCAAATGTATCTCTAAATCGAAATTTTCATAGTAATAATTCAAAACACTCAAAATTCAGATTAAAACAATTATCTTCAAAGTGACTAAATTATGAAACGAGAAACCTCTTTTTCATCTTTAATATGATCTTCTATTAATGATTGATCCTTTTTCTCGATTTCAATTAATTTTTTAGCAATATCTTCTCCTATAATTAATAATTCCTCTTAATTAAATGACATTTTTTGTTGGTTGTTTGTTATACATGTTATTTTAATCTAATACTTTCGCTAACAATCTTTAGAAAAAGCAAATTGAAGAGATCGACATTGATTAAGTACAAATTCAATGCATCGAATAAAGTTGAATTTATGTTAAAAATGTGTTTGCATATATTTGACCTATGACATCTTTATTTACTTTATCGGACTCTGTTACTAAATCAGTAGCCAATGATTGCAGGAGATTGGTATCCAACACGATTTCGTCATCCATTTTTTCAAATAATGATGGGTCTTTCTTCGTCATTTCGATCGGTTTGAGCACCAAATTAATATCCGATGTATTTTGTGGATATCCTTCTATATTATAAAGGTTAACATATTAAAAATTCATAGAACTATTTATGTGACGGCTTAATAATTTTCGGGGGAGTACTTTCACTAATTCTTCTAAATTTCTGAAATCATGGCTCTTCAAAAACATCTGAAACATACGACGTAATGACTTACCTAAAGAACCATTTGCTGGCAATGATTCCGCTTTACCCAATAACTGAAAATCAGTATCGCTTTACTATAATTTTAACTCGATTATTCTAAATTCCATCTCATAGAATTCATGAATGCATAGCTACCTCACATTCGTTCATAGTATCTTGTCTTTTTGTAATTTTCTGCAGTAAAGCAAAAATGCATATATTTGCTTTACTTCGTTTTTTTTTTTTTTAATTTGGAAATGCTTTCTTAAATTTCCATTATTGAAAAAACAAGTTTGGTGGGATTTAGATTCAAAGGATATTGTGAAATTAGAAATTTGTAAAATTTAGAAATTTTCAGGCGCCCAGCAGCTGACATCTCTTTTTTTTACTTTTTTACCCTGAAAAAAGAAAAAACTTGCCTCGGAAACATTAAAAAGTAAGTTCACTTAATCAATCGGTCTTATAAACAGCAAACGAATTTATTGAGCATGTAAAAATCGAATACCTTATCTGAATCGAGCTTTGAAGTTTCCAGGTTTAATTCATGCTTCCCTGAAGTTTCTATTAATTTCTCATTTCCTAATGCTAATTCGCTTTGTTCTATATTTGCATGCAGCACTTTCATGTCCTTCTGTTTTTTCCCTTCGCCTTTTGTTATTTCATATTCCATTTCTTTCTTTTTTTTCACATCCTTTATATCTTCTTTTTTTTTAAGATTTTCTGATACTTTCATTTTTTTTTGATAAATTTTAAATTCTCCGCGGTGTTTTTCTTTCTCCTCTTTTTTCTTTTTTCCCTTATTCTCTTGCTTTTTTTCTTCGCGTGCACCTTCTTTGACTTTACCTTTCATCGTCTTTGATTGAGATTTGATGCTTTTTATCTTATCAGTCTTGGATTTTTGAGATGAAATCGTTCCAGAACTTTTCTTTGATTTCATCTTTTCCTTCGGCAGTGCTGGTGATAGGGATGCTTCTGATTTGTTTATAGGATTCGCTTTTGAAGAAGTTGATTTGCTTTGAGTGAATTCCTTTGTTTTACTTGAACTCTTCGAGCTGCTCGGTCGTGAGAATGCATCTGTACTTCGTAATGTATTTTCACCTTTTGGTCGTGATAATGCATCTTTCTTCGAAAGCGCTTCTTTCTTTCTATAGTATAAAAAAATAGCAGAATAATTGTTACGGGGACTACGATATATTATTAATCTGAATTATAGAACATCATCTATCCGTAGTAAGGTTTCGGATAATTTATTATCTCTGAATTTGACGACTAATATCTTTTCAGTTTTAAAACTGAAAAAAACCTGAAAGTGCTCCCATGTCTAATGACCTTTAAAAGTTGAGAACTTGCAAAAAGCGGAATATGTAACAAGAAATCATGCATGTTCAATCGAAAAGTTGAGAAAAATTATGAGGTGTAGGCTGCTTTTCAATTTACTTTCGAAAATTCTTTAACAACTTTTCAAATTAATGAATTCATATATGAAAAATGCTGTAAGTCAAAAATGAAAAGACCAATCAGCCTTCATTTTTGTTTGCAAATAAAGATTAGATTACAAGAAAATGAATCTAGTCATCCACAGCTCGTCGGACTCATCTAGCTGTGGATAGTTTGAACTTAAGAAATTGATAGTGAAAATTTTGTTTGTCAATAACCTCTTTTGTGATGATGCTTCATTTATCTGAAAAAAAATTATAATCGAAATATTCAAACTGAAAAATATCGAGATTATATGTCGATTTCAGGAAAGCAATAAGTATGGATTTTGCACAGTTTTTAAGATCTATCTCAAAAATTCATTGGCAAAAAGTTGGACATTTAAAATACTAACAGTAGCTAAGTTGGGATGTTCTTTGATCGAAAACAGCCTGAAAAGCAGCAGGATAATGACTATAAAATTAAGAGATTATATGCATCACAGTATTTCCCATCTGAATTTTCGCCAATGCAGAATGCAACTGAGCAAATTTTTCTATTGTGTTGCTGCACGCAGGAATGCACAAAAATTCAGCTATTGTCATTTTTACGAATTTTTGATCTACAAACAGTTGCGGGGGAAAGTATGAGAAATGCAATGGACGGTTCCTCGTTTAAATTATACTTCAAAACATAAAATATTCGCGCACTTCATTTTTAGAACCAATTTTCGGCATCAACTTCTTGTAACACCGAAATGATTAAGAATGCATTGGGAGGCATTAGACAATAATAGGATTCAAGCTGATAATAAATCAGTCTGTTTATAAACTTTCCTTAGCTTTACTTGTTTTCAAAAGACAAACCCTTTATTTGTCTCAACATTTATTGGACTTATTTCCACATTGACCTTTTCGAACACTTCTCCTTCATCAAGGGCATTACATGGCGCAGAAGCAGCACTGAAATTTATTATTTTATGTCGAACTTCTCAGATATTTTCCTACATTGGCTAAAAATATGTATGCATTTTCTACTGAAGAAAATTTACAAATCTTCACAGAGTTTAAAATCAGCAAAGTTCTTCTGTTCCAAGAATAGTGAAATAATTATTTATGCAAATACGTGTAGTCAAAGTTCGATTTATCCTTTTTTTAACTTTTAAAAATCAGAATTTAAACTAGTAAAGAAACTTCAAATTTTGAAATATTTTAAACAGTACATTTGAGACGCAGTACTAGCACTGATTCTTATTTGTGTTTTGCCACTGAAATTAATGAGAAACAATCAGCTGATTTCGAGGCAAAGTAAAACTTAACGAGGTAGCATTCCTTGTCTTTAATCCATACGAATATATAGTACCATTTCCATTATTTTATTTTTACGTAAATTTAAAAAATGCGGATCATTATCCAGTGATCAATAAGAATAATGCAATTAATCTATGAAACATTATAACTAATATGAGTATTACTCCATGTGAATATATTGCATATAAAATCTTTAAAACTTAAAAATTGGAAAATTTCAATGATTCAGAAAATCAAATTTCATCAAATTCATACGTTATGGTTGAAAATTTGTTTTGTCTTCTTTTAAAACTAGCCCGTAAAGTTTTCAACTCATTTTCTGTCAAAGTCTTCCTTTCTTCTGAAATATTGCCTTTTGAAAAAATTAGCATAAATGTGAAGACATTACTGTCGAGAACAAACTTGAAACTTCTGGAAAAATCCAGTATTTATCACATAGCCAAACCAAATAATTATACTAAAGATTTCTTCTTAATGATTCATCATTTGTAATGGTTCCGTTAATTTTCACATTCCAAACCTAATTCGCACTTTAATCCTTATCTCAACAATTATTTTTGTTCCGAATAACTAATCTAAACGTTCCCATCATGTTTAACCGCCTTCAGATTATAAAACCGTTTCTTCTCACGAGTGTGTTCCTTGTCATGTGAATTACCATTTTTTGGTGTACCATATCCCTATCCCTGCATGGGAATTCCGTTCATTGTAAGCTCCTCCTTACAAAT